GTCAAAAGGCGATAATGTCTACAACGGCACTTTGTTACTTTCAGTTTACAGTGTACCATGTAATAAAAACAAAACTGTCTAGAACTGACCTTTCATAGAGACAGTAAAATGTTTACAGTCCAACACTAATTCACACCATTTCATAATACGGGAAATATAATCAGACAGACTTAGTCGCTTAGTAATTCAACCAACTGTACATGTACTTACAATGTAGGCCGTGGATAATGGGGGCGTGTTACCGAAATATGATAGCAGTAGAGAGACGAAGAGTCACATCAAGTAATTCCTTAGAGTTTTAGAAAACTCCAGTCACTGTTCTATATGTTTGGTACCTACGCGATGATGAAACAGAAAAACAACCTGGCTGATGCTAGAAGTACTGAAGTTTGTGAAGTAATATAAATATTATCATAATGTGAAAAAATAGATATTAAATCACATATCTGTTTAAGACATATAAACATGAAGTTTGTAAAAGAATAATGTAAATTAATAAATGAAATAATAGCACCATTATGTCCATCAAGCTAATCTCTATACAAGTATTACTGACAACATCTTATTACTATATTCTTACGAATGGTTTTCTTCACCAGTGTACGACATTCACCTACGAAATAAATGTACATTTGTATATGCCTGTCCGAGACTATTAAGCAAAAATGCTTATATAACACGGTTCAGTATAAAGTACACTATATATATATGTTCAATGAAATTAATAGCAACAGTACGGACAAGCGAATTGTCATATTTTCGAGGCAACCTGCCCGTTTATCAAGACACAAATATTACACAAATTGCATCACATAAACAGAACATAAAACAAATACAAAGTTATAAATCTAAATCGAGAGCGGTGGTGTAAAATTAGGTGTCTCGATAATCCGTTCGGCCGATGATGATGTTGATGATGATGCTGCTGATGATGATTGTTTCTCGTCTCCGTGACTCTGCCCGTCGCCGGGCCTTATCCAATCGACGTGTGTCGATTCTCTGGCGACGTGTATCGATGGACGCCAAAGTTGTTGTATGTAAGATGGTGATTAAAATATCAAAAATGTTTTACATAAATCTAGGTATGTTTTGCACTCTAGGCACTGAGCGTATATGTGATCGTACATTATAAATAGATGAATGAATAAACTGTAATGCATGTTCACTGCAAAGTACATAAATTTACAAGTCAACATGTATGAATTTAATTACTATTTTGCTCGAGTTTCCATTAGTTTGTTTTGGAAATCTGTCAAATGGAAGTCTTAACACATGATAAATAATTTGATGACAAATTACGAGTGTTGTTAGTTTTCAACAACCTGCAACCACAATTAGAGAATAAGTTTTATCATTTAGTCACGACAAACTTGTTTTTTATTTATAACGAAGAGATATTTTGACGTATATATAGTTCAATGTGTCCTGTTTTAAAAACCAGAAGGTATATCATTTAAAAGAAATTGTATTTGCATTTAGTTTTAACATAATTTTGAGACAAAATATATAAGCAGATAAATATATAAACAGAAAAATAAATAAACAGATAAATAAATAAATAGATAATCCGTTAAGCTCATCATTTTCATCAAATGCTTCCTTGGCCGGCATCCATATTTTCAACATCTATTTTCAGTGTACTTTGTAATTCAATCTGTATATTATTTCTAGCCTGAAGGTACTCTTCATATTTATTCACGCACTAGCCATTGTAGTGTAAATAGAGGTAACATTTTTGTAGTTAAAACGCTCTATGCACATACGCATTTTAACAGCTATTTTCGTTCATTGCTTTTCATTTGTAGTGTGCTCAACGACCAGACAGAAATCTGATAGAGTTTTTATCCTAAACGTCATTTGAAAACAATTTTTTAAATGATGATTTGAAAAGCCGTTACAACAATATACAGTCATTAAAATCTTCATTTACCTATCAAAACTCATAATTCAAGCGTAAAATGACCATTTCAATGGACTCGTTAAATGTCAGCGAGCCCATTTCGTCATCTAAAAAACGACTTGACAAATAGTATCTGACACCAACGTCCTGTATGGCTGTTATATATCACCTGGACACAAGGATTGGTGTGTTAAGGAATTTCCTACTGCCTTAGATTCATATGCACTTATTCAATTCACGATGCTGATAAACATATCAACTTAATAATCTTAAATGGATGTCTAAAAATATTAAATATTATGTTAAGAAAAGATGTTTGTTTGGCGCTGTTTTCCGGTATAGTCGGTATTTTGGGTGCCCCGTCGATTTACCGGTCGAGTCCGTATTTTGAGTGCTGCGATGCACTATTGTCTGGTATAATCTATATTTTGGGTGCAGCGACGTGGTGTCTTGCCGGTATGATCGGTACTTTGGGTGCAGCGACGTGGTGTTTTGCCGGTACGATCGGTATATTAGGTGCAGCGGTGGTGTTTTTCCGTTATGATCGGCATTTTGGGTACAGCAGTGTGGTACTTTGCCGGTATGATCGGTATTTTGGGTGCAGGGGTTTGGTGTTTTACCGGTTGATTCCGTATGTTGAGGTTTGGATGCACCGTTTTACCAGGATACCTGGTGAGTTCGGTTCTACGGTGCACCGGTTTACCTTACTTTAAAATTCTGATAGACACAACTGAATGACAAGTTAATCGTAAGATGGTTGTGACAGGTGTGGACAACTTTTGACATGGACAGGTAGACCAAGATACTTGTTTCCGGCTTGTACCTTCATTATCACAGGTATTTACAACACAGATTGGGTAATTTGATAGCCACATACTGTAGGTAGAATGACTAATATACAAAATGATCGTGTCATTATGTGTGACCTTTCAGTGTGGTAGGGATTACACGGTAAAACGTTATACCGACTGACCTTTGTGGAGTTTAAACACAGAAATAACAAAAGTCTATTAAAATTCAAACAGCTGTCGTCTTAAATCAAAACTTATGGAATATCACTATACATGTATAAATTAAACGTTGTTCATTGAACCAAGAAAGATAAACAAGCAAAATCGATATGAATACATAGTATTACAAGAAAGTGATTGAATCATTGACATATCCAGTTAGATGTGTGTTATTTTGTGATAGTTTTGACATCTGATATGATAATTATCCTCACAATGAAATGAAATTATAGAAATATATTATCGTTTATATCGGTATAAGTATTATCTTTCACTACTTAGACCCGTTCATCAACTTCAAACAGGTTTCAACAAATAAACTAAATTAAAACTTACCTTAAACACAGTCGCTGCTCGAGATGTTTAAACTGACCGCTGTCAAAATGGTGATAAAGTGTACGAAATATGTGAATTGTTCGCCGCATACGTAACTAAAGTTCACACTTGCCTTTCATTGTGGTCGTTCTTACTGTACTCATGAATATGTCAAATTTCACCGCAAAGTCTAATACGTGTTTATATTGTCACAACGAGTTGCTATTAAACAGGTCAGCCTCCGAAAATCCCAGCCCAGTCTAGAGTTAAACTGGATTGATATGTGTCAGAACCGTGACAATGTCTAAAGAAGGTCTCGCGTTTCCGTCTGTTAAATCACCACATCGATTGGCTATGTTCATTGAATTCCTTAAATAATGAAAAATGTTCTTGGTGTCACACTCATGGGTTATACACGACACGGTTATTGTTTTTTTACAATGTGTGTGAGAAAACACCACACCATGGGGGTCGTCACTGCACTGACAACACGGATTTCAATAATCTATATTAAATCAAACGTGCGAGTAGATTTTGTTCGACAGTTATTTGGGATAAAACGAATAGGAAAATAGAATATTAAAAACATTTTTAAAAACTACTGATAGTCGTAAAGGAAAATAAGGAGCATCTCTGTAGAAGAAAATCAATAGAATCTGTAATTAACTGTGGATGGGCCCCGTTACACCAAACGTTAGCTAGACCGTGATTTATTAAACAAGTTTGTCAATATGGGCAGAATAACTGCAACTCAATCATAGCCGGACCGTTTCGCTTCTATCTTCTGAGGAGATCGCGCTAATATCTCACAAGGTCACTTTGAACTTATCCACCGACTTTCCTCTCCATCGTTCTCACAAACAGCACATACATCAATGTGAATGTTACAAAACAAGACAGATCTTTAGTGTAACGACATGTCCTGTCTTTGTCCTTTGTCGAATACACCAGGATCCCTCCGAGTGATGTTTGGACACTCCCTCATAATAAATACAAGAAGGGGAGAGGGTGATTCCGATTAACGCCTAGACATTGTCAACTAGTATGTTACAGCCGTAACGTAGTTGTGTAATTCAATTAGGGCCGTTGAAAATGTTTCTTGTTTGCTTAAGATGACCAAACCTTGTTAATGTTTAAAACAGGATGTATCTGAGTGTACCAGACGGACATCGCATTTGATAATCCAATACGGGAGAATATGGGAAGCTGGCTCTGTTTCTGTCGAAGGTTACTAACAATGATTTATCGTTTATATCTTATTAATATCGTAAAACATCAAAGCTGAATATTAGAATTCAGAATTTGAAATGTTGATATCAGAGTACCAGAAAATAAGTACATCTTTGCATATAATTGTTTGAGAACTGATAATGAGATATCAAACATATTAAACTGACTTAATGTTTAATTTATACGCAAACATAGAGGATAATATCAAATACACTAATCTGACCTAACATAACTCAAATACAACCGATCAAACTCACCAGACTTGATATCTAACACAAGAAAAATAACAGTGATCGTTTCTAATGTGCAGATTAAGTAATGTAAGTGGTCTAAATATTAATTTTGCTCTGCATCCAATGTGTAATGAATAGAGAATGTAATACATGTGGTGAGATTATTGCTATGTCCTCATTGTCCACATTGTGACGCTATCGCTTTGTTGTAACACTATAGTTTTTGCTATTCCAAATAATTGAGAAAAACATAAGGAAAGTGAAATAACTGCATGAAAGAAAACTATTCTTTCAAAATATAAAAATAGGACAATGGTGTGTGTAAAGGTATTTCTATTTTGGTTTTTAGGTAAAAGTAAAGTGTATTATTTACACTTCACACGACTTTGTTTAAACATTACCTATATAACAACAATACTGTCATGTGATGTTTTATGTAGAAACAGACAAATGCAGATGTATACACGTGCAAAACATGTATATCTGGTAAAATAATCTAGCAGAATCAAAAAGGATTTGATGAAATTTATCAAAGAAAATCCTTGTCGGATTTCGATCAAACGTGATTGCAAACATTTGTAGTGGCTTATAGCTAAGTTTGTAAAGCTTGATTAAATCACTCCTGCAAATCAAGGAAGTAACATACAAGCCCGATGACAAGGAAGTAACATACAAGCCCGATGACAAGGAAGGAACATACAAGCCCGATGACAAGGAAGTAACATACAAGCTCGATGACAAGGAAGGAACACACAAGCCCGATGACAAGGAAGGAACCTACAAGCCCGATGACAAGGAAGTAACATACAAGCCCGATGACAAGGAAGGAACATACAAGCCCGATGACAAGGAATGAATCTACAAGCCCGATGACAAGGAAGTAACATACAAGCCCGATGACAAGGAAGTAACATACAAGCCCGATGACAAGGAAGGAACATACAAGCCCGATGACAAGGAAGGAACATACCAGCCCGATGACAAGGAAGTAACATACAAGCCCGATGACAAGGAAGGAACATACAAGCCCGATGACAAGGAAGGAACATACAAGCCCGATGACAAGGAAGGAACATACAAGCCCGATGACAAGGAATGAACCTACAAGCCCGATGACAAGGAAGGAACATACAAGCCCGATAACAAGGATGGAACATACAAGCCCGATGACAAGGAATGAACCTACAAGCCCGATGACAAGGAAGTAACATACAAGCCCGATGACAAGGAAGGAACATACAAGCCCGATGACAAGGAAGGAACATACAAGCCCGATGACAAGGAAGGAACATACAAGCCCGATGACAAGGAAGGAACATACAAGCCCGATAACAAGGAAGTAACATACAAGCCCGATGACAAGGAAGGAACATACAAGCCCGATGACAAGGAAGTAACATACAAGCCCGATGACAAGGAAGTAACATACAAGCCCGATGACAAGGAAGGAACATACAAGCCCGATGACAAGGAAGGAACATACAAGCCCGATAACAAGGAAGTAACATACAAGCCCGATGACAAGGAAGGAACATACAAGCCCGATGACAAGGAAGGAACCTACAAGCCCGATGACAAGGAAGGAACACACAAGCCCGATAACAAGGAAGGAACATACAAGCCCGATGACAAGGAATGAACCTACAAGCCCGATGACAAGGAAGGAACATACAAGCCCGATGACAAGGAATGAACCTACAAGCCCGATGACAAGGAAGGAACATACAAGCCCGATGACAAGGAAGGAACACACAAGCCCGATAACAAGGAAGGAACATACAAGGCCGTTGACAAGGAATGAACCTACAAGCCCGATGACAAGGAAGGAACATACAAGCCCGATGACAAGGAATGAACCTACAAGCCCGATGACAAGGAAGGAACATACAAGCCCGATGACAAGGAATGAACCTACAAGCCCGATGACAAGGAAGGAACATACAAGCCCGATGACAAGGAAGTAACACACAAGCCCGATAACAAGGAAGGAACATACAAGGCCGTTGACAAGGAATGAACCTACAAGCCCGATGACAAGGAAGGAACATACAAGCCCGATGACAAGGAAGGAACATACAAGCCCGATGACAGGGAAGTAACATACAAGCCCGATGACAAGGAAGGAACACACAAGCCCGATGACAAGGAAGGAACCTACAAGCCCGATGACAAGGAAGTAACATACAAGCCCGATGACAAGGAAGGAACATACAAGCCCGATGACAAGGAATGAATGTACAAGCCCGATGACAAGGAAGTAACATACAAGCCCGATGACAAGGAAGTAACATACAAGCCCGATGACAAGGAAGGAACATACAAGCCCGATGACAAGGAATGAACCTACAAGCCCGATGACAAGGAAGGAACACATAAGCCCGATGACAAGGAAGTAACATACAAGCCCGATGACAAGGAAGTAACATACAAGCCCGATGACAAGGAAGGAACATACAAGCCCGATGACAAGGAATGAACATACAAGCCCGATGACAAGGAAGTAACATACAAGCCCGATGACAAGGAAGGAACATACAAGCCCGATGACAAGGAAGGAACCTACAAGCCCGATGACAAGGAAGTAACATACAAGCCCGATGACAAGGAAGGAACATACAAGCCCGATGACAAGGAATGAACCTACAAGCCCGATGACAAGGAAGGAACATACAAGCCCGATGACAAGGAAGGAACATACAAGCCCGATAACAAGGAAGTAACATACAAGCCCGATGACAAGGAAGGAACATACAAGCCCGATGACAAGGAATGAACCTACAAGCCCGATGACAAGGAAGGAACACACAAGCCCGATAACAAGGAAGGAACATACAAGCCCGATGACAAGGAATGAACCTACAAGCCCGATGACAAGGAAGGAACATACAAGCCCGATGACAAGGAATGAACCTACAAGCCCGATGACAAGGAAGGAACATACAAGCCCGATGACAAGGAAGGAACACACAAGCCCGATAACAAGGAAGGAACATACAAGGCCGTTGACAAGGAATGAACCTTCAAGCCCGATGACAAGGAAGGAACATACAAGTCCGCTGACAAGGAATGAACCTACAAGCCCGATGATAAGGAAGGATTTTTTGTCTTCTATGAAAAGTAATTGCGAGTTTGACATCAACTCTACAAACTTAAATATCGAATAGCCGAGTTATGATTTTTTCTTTTGAAAGGTTGATTAAAATAACTCATAGAATGAAGGTACTTAATCACTAACAAGATACTCTCTATAAAGAGTATGAAACTCATCCCAAGATTGTGTAAAATCCCCAAAGGAACGAAACCACTGGGGTGCTGATAAATTATTATGGCATCGGTATATATGTAGATATGTGCATCCCTTATCCCTTTTCGATTTCAGACCCCGGTTGCTCAAAAGTTAGTTCGTGTTAACCAGAGGTTAGGGAAGAATACAATTGTTACCACTAAAGAAATAAGGATTGAAGAAAAAACAAACTTGACATTAAAAATATAATTTGACCTATCTCAACAAGTGTAAGCTAGTCTTTGAACAACCGGGCCCAGGTCACAAGGATCATTTACATTGCTAGTTTTATTTGGTGGACAGCCTAAACATGTAGATTCGTATGTTTATAGTATTTTGTATGCATATATTTACACTCACTGAGATAGAACAAATAAATACATAGCTCATTACATTCTGTCTAATATTTTCACATGATCAATATTTAGCAGAAAAATTGTATACATTTGTAAATGATTAATGAATTATTCACATTATAATATTGAAATTGTGGTAAACGACGACACTTTTATTTTAAATGTATACCTTTACTTTCATCTAGCGTGAAATCAGATGTTTTAATGCCACAATACACAGCTGACCTAAACGTATCTTCCTGCTTGCAATTAAGCATATCATTGTGTGGTCAGCAAATGGATCGAATTGACATCCATTCTTTGTTCAATGCAACTAACATATCACAGCAGGAACGTTTAATGTGTGTATTGTATATGAACCACACCTACAATAGAGTACTTATAAATAGTTTTAACTTCACTCCTTAAAGGCATAAACCTGAGATGATATTTACTGAAATTCAAAATTTGGCGTCTTTAAATCTTCAGAGCAGTCGCCCAAGAGAAATAGTTCAATATATAGCGCACCCGTCTTAATGTACTAATAATTGAATCCACGGTACAAGAACCCTAACTGATCTTAAGCTATGTTAGGTGTTGATTTACCTATTTACTAAATACTCAGCGTGTTTGGCTCGAGTTAAAACTCATTTATTATCAAATCCATTGCACTACATCTATAACTTATTTAATATCTAGTTAGTTTGTATCTAGTTTCATCCCCCACAGATTACAATACTCACCAGGTGTTTTCCACTTAAAACATTCATAATGGTTTGTGGGCTTTTGCGTTTGTTAATCCCCGGGTGGGCAGCTAAAGAATAGCCCCCATTTCGACCTTACTAAGGAGGATTTGCCCCCTACCCACGACAGAGACCAACAGCAGCGACCAGGCATTTGGTTGCATACACTGAGGTGTTTCAGTACAATAGCCGCTATTCTCCCAATCTTACGTATATAATTGTTGACCCGCTCGAACTATTGCACTGTATATATTCAGTCAATAACAGAATAATAGAAATCTCATTCATAACTTCCTTACAGGAAATAATCTCGCGATCGTTAAATATAATGAAACATAATTAAAGACAATTCTATTGTTAGAGATACAAAAACGACCTGGCGTAGTATGTGCTTATTAGAAATATATTAAATTGAAGGTTATGGTGTTTTTCTCACCATTCCCATAGACACTGTTTACCTGATCTATGAGAATGGTCAGGACAGTCAATGAACGTAAATCATGACTTACAGATCATTAAATGTCTAATTATTATTAAGCGATTGCTTTCTCGCGTGATGTTACGGCAGAAATGATTTAAATATGTTAGAAAACACCAATGGACAGGGCTTTTTTCGTCTCAAAAGAATACACTTCATATATTTTAACAATGCTTTCTTATAATTAGAATTCATACTTGTACTTCTTTCGAACAGAACATGACTATCTCACTGATACAGGTCAGCTCTTTTACTAGGATGAGTGATCTAATAATGATAGAAAATCTCATCATACCTCACCGAATTCAGAGATTAGTTACGGTATTTGAGATTGATAAAAACTGGTGCAAGAATTTCACATTAACACATTTACCTAGCTGGCTGGAACGTTCCTAAAATACAAACATAAACATATACTAATGTAAAACAAATCTCTATCAAATTGCAGTAATTAATCGATTAATATGTCAATCAAAAAAGGAGAACTACAGTCAAAACTGGGATTTTAGTAACAATTTGTATTGTTTTGCCGTGTTTGATTTTTCTAAGGAAATATGTACTAATATGAAAACAAACGAAACGAGACTTGCACTAAAAAAACCAATAAAAGTGAAATGGACGACTCAAAATGATTCAAATTACAACTGATAAAAATGTGTAACAGTGTATTTCTACACAAAACAAGTCGACAGGAAATAATATATGCATATATCATACTATGTCATTTACCAGCATAACAGAGAAATTAAGAAAAGCTGTTCGGAAAGCAATATTTATCAGCGTTAAAATGTATATGTCATTGACAGCAACAGTATCCATAGCAGAAAAGGTCCTCACCAAACACATCATATATTCTGACACGATAACACAGACTGATGCACATCAACGTAGAATATCAATGAAAATGGAATAATTATCAACAAGTCAATACGGTGCTCAGAAACGAACAAAACGGAGAACATTAGCTAAAATTATAGGTATGTACAGTATTGTTACATCGTTGGCAAAGAAAGGAAAATATTATCGACAGAAAAACGGCAGAAGGAAACGAGTAAATATGAACAAGTTTATAAGTGTGCATCATCTGTAGTGGTAGTCATGAGCTTTCTCTTGTCAATCGATTGTTTATTGTAAGCAAAAATCTGTATTATATATCCTACAATTGAAATCATATCTTCAATAGGTTAGGAAAACGTCTCATAAAAACAAAAAATAAAACTTTAAGAAAATTAATGATTCTTATACATTTCAGTAACCAAATAATAAGAAAAGACAAACATGTAAAAACTTGGAGACAATGACATGTGAATCCTGACATGACATATAACGCAGCTTAATAACGCTATGACTTTCTCATTATGCCAGTCATTGGATCTATCTCTCTTCATTTAATTTAGTGCATAACACAACGAAGCTATGCATTCTGTCCATTGTTACTTTATTATCAATGTTACATGAAAATACTCATTTTGACTTGAAAGTTTTCTAGGGAAAACAATAAAACCCGCTCGAGTATATATATATATATTTGCATTCACATTGATATACACATCTATTGGTACAACGTTTTGCTTATTCCATTTATGCACAATTAAAATATATTACTTGTGTTTCTTTGATACAGTTCCTGAGACAAATACAATACAATGTATATATTGTTCTGACATTTATCAGATTTATTGATTGAAATATGCTTGTTTGTGTGTTCTTCATACAACAAGATGTGTTATATTATGTGCAGTAAAACAATATGAAAAACTCTTCAAATTTTATATGACAGTATCCTCATTTACAATATAG